TCACAACTTAAAAATTTAAAGGTCACAATTTGTTCATCGGTCACAAATCACAAAATTTATAAGTCACAATACTTATTTACGGTCACAAACATCACAATAATCGAACATATATTATATTTAGGTCATAATTTATCAAATTATTGGTCACAAATTAATAATTTTTAGGTCACACATCATGTATTGGTCACATTTTATCTAATTCATTGGTCACATATCGTTTATTGGTCTCCAACCAATCAAATTAGTGGTCACAAACAACCAAATTATTTGTGACCACCACTTCAGCACTGCCTTCGCTAACGACACCATCGTCGTCGCCGCCCAATAGCAACGTCAACACCTCATAACCAACAACACACCCTCCCCAACACAGAACATACAAATCACACACATAACACACAACTACCGTCGCCACCAACTTCAGAACCAAAATTCGCAGCGCCCGATCCACCGCCAATACCACGACACCGCACCGTTTACGACCACCACCTCCGAAGCCACCACCGCCAACACGACCACAGCACACAACCATCGCACCGCCACCGCACCCACACACACACACACCCAACCGCACCCAAACAGATCTGCACCTCCACGACTCCCAATCGCTCAAAAAAAAAAAGAAATATCTGAAAAAAATAGATATGCACCTCCACCAGGTAGCTAGTGAAACATAAGCATGATTATGTGTGAAATAAATGATTATTCTTGTCTTGAAGAATTCGAAGCCATGAGACAATGCTAGAATGCTTCACTTTTATCGTCATAATTGTTTTCTATTGATAACGATCCTGCCCAGAAATAAATGAAAGCATTCTTTCCTATTTGATTAAATTCCTAGACAACTGTCTTGATGAAGCTTCGGAGGTCGTTGCGGCGACGGGAAGGAAAGAAGACTGACAGAAAGAGGTGGAAAGGAGATGAAGAAGAATCGACGGCCGTGCTGGTGGCGGCGGCGACGACGACGATGAGCAGCGAGACGGGAGGAGGAATTGAGAGTGGAGAGGAGATGAGTTAATCGATTTTAGGGTTTGGGATAGATAGGGTAGGGGGTATATATAAATTAATTTATTGTAAATAGATATGAAAAAAAAAAAAATTTTTAATTAATAATTAAAACCTGAATTTTGTAATATGAAACTTGAATCGGGATTTATGAAAATGGTAATTTAAAAGTAGGGCTGGGTGTAATTTCCTCTAAATATAATGTTTAATAGCATTCATAACAAATCAACAAATTTGAATTTTTCATGAAATTTTCTTTTTTCCTATAAGCTTCCACTACGTCAAAATTAATAATGGAAAACCTACTACATACGAAAGAATCTTCACCTATAATGACAAGCCTAGCCTTACATAGGACGTTTTCCATGAGGATCTAATTTGGGACTGTTGAGGCTCCATGTACTTGCAGTAGCAGAAGAAGTGACACTGTTTGTATTGGTCGTGGAACCAGAAGAATGAGAACTGTATTCTCCTGAAGTTCTAGAGGTCGAGGGTAATGGCCTCGGAGTCCTATATCTGGAACCTGGGAATCCAGGTCTTTTTGGTTCTTTGAGAGTGCTTGGCTTCCTCGACAGTATTACCACCACCTCGTGCATATTGGGACGTGATGCTGGATCAGCTTGGGTACAAAGCAGCCCAAGCTGTATGAGCATTGCTATCTCTTCAGGAATTGCTGAGGGTGCCAAAGTGTGATCTGCCAGATCCAAGCTTCTACCTTGCTTGTAAAGCCTGTATACCTGCAAAAACAACAAAACTTATCCCTTGTTTGTCTCCTTTTAAATTATAACTCTTTATCCCATGTTTGAAACCATTATTTCAAAACTTTTTAATTCTCATATTCATTTTCAACTACACATTTATATAATAAAATATTTTGCAAGTAAACCCAAAACTTTTTCTATTTTTTAACCACATGTTCTCCAAAAAATCAGTTTTCAAAACACCGTTTTCTCAAAATAATAGCTATCAAACAGAAGCTTAATTATCATACTCATTTTCAACTACACATGCACACTATAAAATATTTTGCACGTAAACTCAAAACTTTCTCTATTTTTTAACCACACATTCTCCAAAAAAATCACTATTCAAAACATCATTATCTCTTAATAATGGGCATCAAACAGGGGCTTCATTACAAGAATTGTTGTCCTGTACAATCTTTACAGAGGTATATTCGATCTAAAAATAACATGAAATGTAATGGCCATTATACTTTGTGTAGTACCAAGGGAAAGGATAGAATGTGCACCAAATTATTTCATTAGGCAGAGACATTCTACGCATGAAACTAATATGAGCATCTCAAAATCAGTAGAGTTAAGAGAAATCATATTCTTCCGAGTGAATGCGAAACATGTTCTTTTCAACCCCAACTTCAAGAAATACATTTTTCGGGCGTCTAGGATTACGAAAAATGCATTATGTAATAGGTCGAATTGTCATAGGAACAATGGAAGCCAAAATTTGTCTCAACTCTAAAGCTGAAATGGGAATCTAAGTACTTCATTTCTCTTAAAAAGTTTTCCTTTCTCGTTGTGGCAAAATTCTAATTCAGTATTCAATTATCAACTATGCAGGTCATTGACAGAAGAATTGATGAGTACAGAAAATTTTATATGCTATCATGACCTCGGGGATCAAATTTAGTATTACACTCTTTCAGATGAACCAACAGAGTAGGTTAAGGATCCACAGTCAACCATTATATTTTGGCTAAAAGATCAAGTTCTTACCCATTCAAGTAAGTCCCGTGAGTTAGGATCATGATTAAAAGTTAAATTCTTCTCTCCGCTTATCAGCTCCAAAACCAAAACCCCAAAGCTGAACACGTCTGCTTTCACAGAAAGTTCACCATGCATGAGATACTCTGGTGCTATGTAGCCACTGTTCCGAAATTAAAATATAAGCAATTCAGCAACATGACGTAGGATTACGTACCGATTAACCATACCAGTAAGCAAAAAATAAAAATTAAAAGCATAACCACATACTTGGTACCAGCTACACGAGTGTTAACATGTGATTGATCTTCAGGAAAGAGACGAGCCATGCCAAAATCAGCAATCTTGGGAACCCATTTATCGTCAAGCAGGATATTGCTGGCCTTGATGTCACGGTGTATGACACAAGTATGAGCGCCTTCGTGAAGGTAAAGCAAGCCCTTTGCTATGCCAGTTATTATGTCATGTCTTTGTTTCCAATCAAGCACTTGCTGACTACCAGAATCTAAATTGATAACACCATGTGTCAGTATCATTGTATCACTTGTAATCTGAAGTTTTATAATACTAGTATTAAAAACATTGTGCAAAATATCAAATATTTCAAAAGCCGGTGAATTAAAAGATTTGACACCCACATCACCTGGAGGCTACAAATCCTCGTCAAATCTTCTTTTGTTCACATTTGTATTTTGAGTGTTTGTGTGATAAAAAAATTTCTAAAGTTTTATCAACTTTTCAATTAGTCAAACTTCAATTTGAACCACACATTTCATCTCATGAGATCCACAACAAAATATCAACTTTCTATTACAATATTATATCAACTTTTTATCAAAATCTACTAAAAGCTTTATCAAACAACCCCTAAAAGTCATGAGGAAGAATCATCAAATAGTATGTAAATGGATGGCAGTCAATTTGAGATGGATGTACAGAAAACTCTTTGGTCAAGACATATTAAAGAACTTCCTTCGAAGAAATTAAATGAAACAAGTTAAAAGTAGATGTGTTTTAATTTCCCATTTTCTCATACAAGATAAATGAATCCAAAGTCAACCAGGTCCCATCTTCCTTGCCCTTGGTCATGTTAGATCACATTTACAGCTTCACACAAAATCAAACATGCACGACCACACACACAAACAAAGAGAGATTGTACAATAGTAATCTCAGGCCCTAAACAGGAGCCAAATGTTAAAATCAATAGTGTTTTTAAGTAATATCTCAGTGAATACTTTCTCTAGTCAAGACGATAGCAATACTTAGTTGAGGTTCGTCCAACAACTATGTAGATTTTGTCAAGAACCAAATACTTGAATAGATAAGACTGAGAAACCTTGCAGAACTTACTAAATAGAAGCTTGTCAAGGCTCTCGTTAGCCACATACTCGTAAACAAGCAGCTTCTCTGCATCATGCACACAGTATCCCAACAAATTTACCACATTTCTATGCTGCATTCGCGTCAACAACTTCGCTTCCATCTGAAACTCTCTCTTACCCTGAGTTGAGCCATGTGCTAGCATCTTCACAGCTATTTCTCTCCCATCACTCAATTTTCCCTACAAATTACAAATGCCCACGAGTCTAAATCAAGTCTTTGTTGATCATTCACACAAAGTAACCAATCCCCCCCCCCCCCCCCCCCCCCCCCCCAAAAAAAACCTTTTTTTTNCCCCAACAAATAAAAAAGACTTTTTATTTTTCCTTTTGCAAGGTGAAATTCAAAATGCCCAGAAGCAAAAGTTTAAGCCTATACACTACAAAGACTTATAATTTGATGATTCTTACCCTGAAAACGGGGCCAAATCCACCTTGACCAAGCTTGTTTGTGGGGTGAAAATCCTTGGTTGCAGCTTTAAGGATTTCAAAAGGGAACTGCTTCTGTTCTCGCGCTGCAATTTCCTCCAAGTCCTCTTCCGTTTGCCCTTTTCAAATTATCAAACAACAATCAAATAAAAAACCAACAAACCCACGCAGAAGAAGAATTTTTTTTTTTTGAAAAAAAATAGCAAGATTTTACCTCTGTTTGGGTTGGAAGTGAAGAGCTTTAAAACGTTTTGAAGGAAGTTCTTGAATTTATTGCTCATGGCAAATGTAGAGATTAATTAATCATAGCAGCATAAGTTTGATTAGTTAATTTCTGTCTATTGGATTTTTGTCAGAGATATTCTGTAAATGCCAACGAAAACTTGCATTTTGATGTTAGAGAAGCGCGTGAAATTTACGATTTACTCGTCAAAGAATTGGTCATTTGGCAATTGATTATTTTAATATTTGACAGTCCTTCGCATTGTATGACATGATGTCTGACTTGGCAAAGGACTCGATAACTTTGAACACCCACGAGGACAACACAAACGCAAATTATCTCTAAATTTTGTCAAGTATTTATAATTGAATTTAAAAATTTATCTATACACTGCATTATCTATTCATCACTCAAGTCGACATCATTTGTTGAACAAAAATGATTTTTCCACATGAATGATGGATGTGTAACAATGTGCATAATTCAATGACCATTTAAATAGAATTTTAAGTTCAATTATAAAGTAGTAACACTTGATAAAGTTCAGTGATAATTGAGATATATTTTTAAGTTCATTCATTAAATATTGATATTTGACAAAGAGCATGTTTGAGTCCCATTTTGTGCTTTAAAATGTATTTTGAAATAGTATTTTGATGAAAAATGTGACTAAAAATTAATGAATAATTTTGAATTTACGTGTAATTTTATTTTATTAAAAAAAGATGTATTTCACATGACAATTTTTTATATTTGCACCACATTTTAATTACAAGAAAAGTTTTCAATATTTGTTTACTTTTGCTTTTATGTTCTCAACTTTTTCTCATTGCATTATCATTCTTAACCTTCAATTAATAACATATTTTGTCTTTAATCATGATTTTCATCCAAATATTCTATTAACGTGCATTGAAAAGATGGACAATTTTTTTTTAAATTTTTATATTAGTTATTCATTTCGTTTATTTAAAAATATAAGAGCTAAATATGTCTTTTTGGCCCTCATAAAAAATATTTTGGACGAAAATCATCCTATAGACAAGATGTGAAAATTAATAGAGGATTGGTGATAAAAAAAAAAAAAAATTAAAAAAGTTGAGAATAGAAGTGTAAAATAAGAAAAGCTTAGCGATATTCATTGTAATTAATATGTGGTGTAGTTAACAAAAATTGTGGTCTGTATATATTTACCCTTCAAATAATTAACCCCAAATCCAACTAAACATAAGCCCTATTTTAGCCACATTTATTCGAAATTCATTTTTTTTTTTTAAATCTCACTTTTTAAAATTTATTTTCAATCGTACATTCTCATAATAAAATAATTTACATGTAAATTAAAACTTTTTTTTTTTTACTTTTTAATCACACATTTTCTAAAATAATACCATTAAAAAATCTATTCACCCCAAAAAATGGGGCTTGAATTTTCAACACTAAAGCCTTTGTTTGGAAAGAATTTGTAAAAGGGTTTTAATACATAAATAAATGGAATTAAGTGGTAAAAAAGTGAATAGTACTTTTAGGTTCATTGAAATATTTGATTCAAAATGAAGTTTGACCTTTATAAATATTTGGCATTGGAATATGGTATGTTTTTTTTTTCCCCATAAAAGGTGAAGACATGGTAGTTTCAACAAGTTCTTGCGTTTGACATTAAAAGGAACTCATAAATAATAAAACCTACCAAACATGTTGCTTGATCAAGTGCAAGTTTTTTAATCCAAACATGTCAAATTTCTCCCAAAAGTTGTTTTAAGGATTAATGGATATTGTCATAAGCATTTTGTGAATAGTTGTGGGGCGTAAGGGACAAGAATATTTAAATGTGATGAAAAATTAAATGAGAATCTAAATTTGTTTGTAACATAATTTTAGTGTGCATTTGATAGACTTCATTTGTTGTTTTGTCATGAAAGTCTGTTTGGTAATAATGTTATGAGTAGAGTTTTTTTTTTAGTATAAATCGTGTGATTTAATATTTATTTGTGTAAGAAGTTCAAATATGACATATTAATATGAAATAGAATATTTTCTTGCATCGTATCGTTGATTAACAAATGAAAACTAATAAGAAAAAACTGTAACATTCAAAAAATCTTTGAAATTATATTAAATTGATATATAAGAAATTAGATATATTAGATATTTTAATTAACGCGTATTTCAAATTCCGTAGAAACTGAATTTAGAACTTTTTTAAAAAATCTCCAAATTTGATATTCTTAAAAAGCTTTAAAATTTTGTTTTTAATTCAAGAAACACTTCTATGATGCAATCAAATAACTGCATTTTTATATAAAAATATTTTTGACGTTCTAAAAATATTTTTAATTGGAAAATTACCTAAAACCCTACATATAAAAAATACTATTAAAAAATAAAGATGATTAGTTTTAATTTCACAAATCAAGTGATAATGAAGATTTATTGAATTAATTAAAATATGATTAATATAGAAACAGATTTATGCTTATCTAATGAGCAGTCTATAATAGGGGTGGGCTTGGTACGGTTCGATTTGATTATCTTTAGAACCGAACTAAACCCGAAATTTTCAGGTATTTAGTAAATGGAATCGTCGGGTCTAAATTTAATTATGGAACAGTTCGGGTTTAGTTCGGTTCGATTCTATTCGGTTCAGGGATTTCGTACAATAATTAATTTTTTTTATATTAAAACAACGCTATATTAATTCGACTATGATATATGCAATCTTAACTTTTACAAAATAACGTAGTTGTTATTCACAGTCACCAATTACAGTAATCATCATATATGATAACTTGTTATTTGAAGCATGACTTGTTATTCGAGACAACATAATTACAGAAATTCAATGATTCAAATAATAAGCTATCAAATAAAATAACTGTTGCAGTCACTGACTATAAATAATATTACACTTTTCGATTTGATATCTGTTGATGTGGCTGTAAGAACATAATCATATCATTTTTTTATGGTTTCTAATTTCTCTAATTGAACAATCAATCCAATCTAATTTCATTTGCAAAATCTTGATCTTCTCCCTCCAAAAATTTATTGAANTATATATATATATATATTGAAATTATCACCCAATTTGTGAAAGTATTTTATAAGATTGTTAGTTGTGAAATGTAAATCTTATTGTCTTGTAATTGTGTATTTTCCCTTTTTACTTTCTCAAAAAGCCCTGCAAACACAAGCTTAGTAATAATGATATTAAGATGATCAAGTCTACACCAATTAAATACCTCAAAACCCAACTAGTGACCCCAAATTCCAAAAGAGCTGGCTCAAGGGTAGGGATCGACAAGTCTCAAACGAGCCATCTAAAATAAAATAAATTTATTTTATTTAATGCTTTATGTCCTATATACTCATTTAAAAACAACATTTTAGGTGTTGTGTCATGTTATGTCGTATTTTGAAGAGAATTAATTTTTACAAGCACAGAGAATAAGTTCAAAATGTGACTTCATGTGTTTTTTTCTTTTAACAATGACTTCATGTGAATTTGGAGTAGGAATGATTAAATTGTATTTACAAGCTTATCTATGTAATCATTCATATCTTTAAGCTGCTTTCTTAGCTGTAGAATATTTGATTATGTCCTAATTAAGCATTTAAATTTCCTGCTTTTTGAGGTTTCTTACCTAACAAAGTTGTTTTTGCTTAAAGCAAAATCCATTTTGAAAGCAATCTTTTGCTGCTTAGTTTTATTCCATCAGTCTCCAAAGGATTTTGACGAGAAAGAAAAAAATGGGTAAAACTACAACCTGCAAGAAATAGGTTCATAAACTTTAAACATGCATTTTAGTCCTTTTGACTTAATGACGTTTACCCCATTAATCCCTCTATCCGTATATGCCGTTTCAACTAACGGAAATGATGAGTTCGTGCTCAGTTCTATACTCCAGCACACCAGGAAGGAGGTGCTTTTCCAGTCGAAAGGGAACGTAGTTCTTTGATCTGAAGCAGTTCTTACTCAAGTTGAACCAAATATAAGTTTTTTTAGTCCTTCTAAGTAAGGCTTACCCCATTAGTCCCTCCATCGGTGTTCCAACAAATGGAAATGATGAGTTGACAACAAAATTACTTACAAATAAACACAGTCACTTTTATATAATTACAAATGGATACATGTAGTATACAACTAAATCAACTTAGCCTTTAAAATAATAAACAAACCTTGAGGTTAAAATGATGCAAAAATGAGGCTGGAAAAGGAAGTTACCTACCACTCTATTCCTTGCCACCAAAAAAAATTCAAAAAGTGAAGCTGTGCTACTCCATAATGTCTAATAAACTAGTGATTCTCTTTTCACTAGACTACACACACATACATTCATCATCCCCCTTTTCCTTAAAAGGTTGAGATGGACATAGACCTGCACAAGTTTGAGCTTACGTGGACAGAATAACCAAGAAACAAAGAGCATAAGTCAGGCAGCACTGATTTCATTGTCTGCCAAAGTCACCCCAAAAACCATCATCCAAAAGCCTCCCACTCGGACACTCCATTAAGAGATTTCCCTCAAATTTTTCTTTGAATCCACAGAATTTCTTCTGCTGTACCATACGAACATGATCATTTTGGTGTGCTTCCTTCATATGTCCATAGAAATCGAACTTGAATCCGTGGTAACTGATAGAAAAAAATACTTATCAGATAATGTAATCTAGTATAAGTGAACATATGAAATTTTGATAAGGTTTATAGAATTACCAAGAGTTTCAGACTATAGTAGTGTCACTCAAATTTCTCACTTGGAGCTCAACATTGCGCAGATCACGGAGATGTTGTAAAATTTCTTGAAGGAGATCCATTCCCTTGTCACCTTTTCTTAGGGAGCCAATGCAATGCTTTAGGAATTCTCCGTCTGCCTCAAGAGCTTGCAACCTTTCATAGAGATGATCAACCTCCTCTTCAATGACAAGCTTTGATTCATAAGAATTGTGCATCCCATTAGACTTAAATCCATTTCCATGTCCATTATGGAAAACATATCCATTTTCATAGCTAATTGCCTCAAAGAGAGGAAGAAGCCGTTTTCCATTTGAACCCACAATTCTTCTCGGTTGTTGATGTTTCCAATTCTTTGTTAAACCATTTGCACGCCCATTTGCTTCACCCCCGAAATAAGTATTTTCATCTATATGATTGCCATTCGCTTCAGCATTTTCATCCGCATGATTTCCATTCTCTTCATGGAAATCTCCCATCGGTCTTAAATCCACAAAATTTTGTTCCTCTTGGATATCCAATGTCATAAGCTTTTCTTCTAAGACCTTGAGCTGCTCTAGAATGGATAACCTTTCTTCTTCAAAGTCAGCTAACGACTCGTCCAAATTTAGTGCTGCATCAAATGGAGTGTTCTGGTTGCTTGATTCGAGATTGCTATAAAAGCACTCTTCTACTTTTGCTTCTTGATTTAGATCAATAGATAATCCATCACTATCCTCACCATTGCTAAAAGAAGCAGAAGAGAATCCACTTCTATTACATCCATCCTTACTTTTTTTCAAGATCCTCATCTTTTCTTTCGTTTCATACTCCAAAACCTTCTTTTGATATATTTCCAACCCTTTCTCCAGCTCCTGTTTTTCCTTCTCCCTTCTTACCATTAGTTCATTCAAGAGTTGCAGAGCTTCTTGATCATACTCAGACTGCTCTTCCATCATTCTCTGATACTGTAAAGCTTCCATTTGCATTGCTGCTTTCTCTTCTTGGAGTCTGTTTATCATTGCCATTGTTTGATTTGCAGCCACTGCAGAAGCACTTCTCTCTTCTTCCAGCTCAGTATATAATGCACGTAAAGTCTTACGTTCAGATCTTAGTGCTGATTTCAAGTGTTCAATTGTAACAACTCCATCACCACATTCTAGCTCACTAGTCACACTTCCATCCAAAGACTCTTCAGTTGCCGAATCCTTTTTCTCAAGCAATGGAAATTTCTTGTGCAAATGATGGAGACTGTCTGCAAAAGTGGGTGTAGAAGCTGGGGTATCAGGAACCTTGTCTTCGTCGATATCATTGAGCTGCAAAAGAAATGATGTTTTTCCGTTCACTGTGTGCTCACCGTTCAGAACTGATAAGGCTTTTAGTTCTACTTTTGGTTCTCCAACTTGTAAAGGACCTAATAGAAAATTGAGACATTGATTAGAGGTTACCAAGGAAAAAAATTTAATTAAGAAGTGCTAAGCACAGAATAATAAAATTCCAACCTTACACAATGACTGCCAAAAACGAAGATGAAAAGAAAAAAAGGATAGACGAGCAAGATGAGAATTCAAGCTTACCATGATAATAAGCTGTAAAACTTGAAAATGTTGTCAATGGATCTTCATGTGTGGATTCATATGAAAGAACATAATCTTGATTTAGAATTTCATCTGTTATATCTAAATCAGGAATTTCCGTACCAATTGATACATCTCCTTCAGTTCCACAATTTGATATCCGAGCAACTTCTTCAGAAACTACATTACAAATTACTTATTTACAATTCAATTTAACAAATATACTATCCAAAAATGATAAAACTAGTCTGCAGGACCAAATGTAAGTACCTGGAATAACCGGTGAATGGTTCTTTTCCCCTTCTGCTGCTTTCACTTCTTGAACATCACCTATAAGCTGAGATGGAGTTTGGGCTACATGAAAATTAACATTTTGTTCATAATCTCCCATCTTCAAATGGTATTCCTTTGCATGAAAAACCAAAGAACTTTCATCCTCTTCTATTTCCATAGAGTCGAGCATCATATACTTGGGATCCTTGTGTGCAGTAAAATCAAAATCAAGTACCCTTCCAGTCCCTTCTCGTCTGAACCTATCCTCCACAACCATTTTGACTTCTGTCTTCAACCAAACTTCGGAATCTGAATTTGTTTCTTGATGGTTATCATTATCAGTATATTCATCGTTAGCATGGTTCTTGCTTTGTTGTTCGCCTGTTATCAAATCAATCAACTCGACCGGAACCAGTCTATGACCACTGTTGTCTAGAAAGAACTCCAGATGCTGAGGGGAAATATCAAGAGGAACATCCCTTCCTTCTTCAATTGATAGCTGAACAGACTTATCCTGCCTAGATATAGTCGAGTTTTCTGCCTTATCTTTTGCTTTTCCTTCTTCCATTTCCAAAACCGCATCTACTTTTTCATCTACTTCACCTTCCAATTCTTTCATCTTATTCACATATACAGAAACAGAACCCTTATCTTCTGTTCCCTTTTCTGTTACACTCAAATCCCTACCAAAATCACACAGAATCTGAGCTTCATTCTTATTTTCCAACCCATGTTCAACATCACACAAATCAGTCAAAAAATCTGATAACTTTTCACAAGATTTATAATCTTCTTGTACATGATTTTCATTTTCTCCAGATTTTTCAATCATTTTTTCTTTGTGGGCACATTCCAAAACATCCCAAGAAGGGTTCATTGCCGTATATGAAGAACGTATATTATTATCAAAGATTACCCCACAACAAGAACACATCAAACTTACCCCATGAAATTCTGGCCTTGAGGACAAGCAATCCTCGCACATATACTGAGAATCAACCAACTTTTGATGATTTGAGCAGTACCCCAATTTGGAAACCTCCTTGGCATGAACTTCACAGAGAAGATCTCTGTGAAAACTCTTGTTATATTTTGCAGGTTCAATGATGTGATCAACTCTAGAACACCAAAGGCAAGGTGGGGTTAGACCAAAATACTTGGCAAATTTGATGATTAGATGGGAAAACAGAGAATTGAGGAGGAGAAGAAGGATTAAAATCCATTCAAGAACTGCATACATCAGAATGAGTGTAAACTTGTTTGTATTTCTATTCAACATACTAGCAAATTTGTTTGCAGCCATACTTTGTTCTATGGTATATACAAATGATAAACAAAAAATGGAGATTATTGATATAATTAATCAGAATCAGAATGAAATGGAATGAACAGAACTGAACTTTTGGAGAGAGAATTAGAAGAACTAGATGGGGAAAGTGGTTTTATTTAGAAATGGACGGTTTGAATATGCAGACAGCCAAATAAGACTGGGAACTTTAGGGAAAAAAAAAAAAAAAAGGTTGATTAATTAATAATTGTTTTTGGAGCATTTTTCTCAATTTAAAATGATTTTTTACTGCAAAATTTAAAATGATTATGAGTTAAAACTTTTAGGGATTTATATTAAATATTTTTCCTTATTTCAATTCTCCTACTTTGGTAAATATTAATATATTTTGAATGCTTGAATTTTCTATTATCAATGTTTTAAATTCCATTGACCCAAAAAAGGTAATGAATATCAAAGATTAAAGAGACTTTTGAACAGGTGGTAAAATAAATAAATAAAACAAGTTGTTGGGAGGGAACGAGCTAGCTCACCTCGAACCAAGATAGGTTTATGCGTGAATTTGGCGGTTTGATGGTGAACCAATTAGTTTAATTTTATTTCGAGTAACTAATTATTGATTTTTTTTTTTTTTTCATAATATTGGCATCATGTACTTAATCTGGTTCCTAGATTAGATTTTGGATTCATCATTTGTACAACTATAAATGACAATATTGTTGACAATTTATGAAATGTCAAAACTCTGTTGCTTGCAAAAACAAAGCGTTCTTCAAAATGTTCAATAATAGTTTACCACGTAGAATGTCGTCAACAATATTGTTATTCATTATTGTAAGATTTTATGTATGAACCAGTATGTAAATCAATTAATTTATCTCATTGGATTCTAAATTTTTCTTCCTTACATTACATATTTCTAATCAAACTTCAAATCGGTACTCAAAATTTCTAATTGAAAGAGCACGGAAAAGCTAGTTAACATCTTATTTATTATATCATCTATTTGATTTAGATAAAAAATCAAATTTTTAATTGATTTTGATAAAAAATAAAATAAAATGTATGATTAAAAAATTAAAAAATGTATGAAAAATATTATTAAAATTAATTATTGACTTGAACTTAAATTTAAATTTAAATTTTTAGTGAAACCAAACTGGGGCATAGTCTTCCATCCTACTAATAGTAATTATATTAAAATTTTCATTATTATTGTTCTATTCATTTTCAACTACACAGTTCTCAATAAAATAATATTTTTCATCACATCAATAACTTTTCTTTCTTTTTAATTACACATTCTCCATTAATCTATTATTTCAAAATATATTCTTCTAAAATAATATGGCTCAAATACACTCTAAATTTGAACTTTGAACTCCATTTTGGTGAAAGACAGAGTCCATGACTTAATGTACTAGAATAATTGGGATTTGGCAATGTGAGAACAAGAGGGAAAGTGTCAACTTTGGATCCACACCATCGATCGCCCCCACTCAGATTTAGATCGGATTAAGGGACCCCACCAACTAAGAAAATGAGTTAGTGGGCCACACCTTAAAGTAAAGGTTATTGGGTCCCATTAAAGGATGCCAGTTACTGGATATCATCATTCAATGTCTATTTGTTGGGTTAATCAATTATAATATAGGATCTTGTTATTTTCACAGAAAAATTGTAATAAACTCAATGGTATAATTTCAATTGGCAATGGATGATTTGATGGAAATGTTAATTGTGTTTAAAACAATCCAATGAAGAGATATCATGTTGCATTATGTCAAATATTATATCAATCATTATATTAATTCTAATAACATATGTGCACCTTAGTTTTATATTCATATCTTTGTACCTTAGTCCACATTTTTTAATTTTTTTTTACTGTTGCTTTAAAATATTGACACTTAATTGGTAATGTCACATTAAACTTCACTATAATTTCTTTAAAAGTCATATCTAAAAATTTTAAATTTCAAACTTGTAGTAATTGTACTCATGGAATAGTAAATTTCACAATGTTCTTTCACTTTAAATTTTGGCCATTTTAGTTTCCAAACAAAATACTTTTAAAAATTATAATTGTTCATTCATGTAATATTTATGGATGGTATAATGTTCTGAATTTGTCCCATTGTGCATTGCCTCGATGGATAAGAGAATTCAGACTAGAATGAAAACATGTTCTCTATCCTGAATCTTATTTTCATTTCATTTTGTTACATTTTTACATTTTATATTTATATTGTATTTAAAAAATAAGAAAGTAATTATAAGTAAATGGGCATGGGAAATGGAGATATTTTTAGAATTTTTCTGCTTGTACAGAAAAATTCATACAGATACTCACATGGGGAGTGGACCTCATGTGAATTAAATATTGCTTAAAAAACGAGGCCTACCTATTTGTGTATATTTTGTTGCATTCTGTGTATTTTTTTTCTGTACACATAGACTTTCATATTTTTAACCCTGACTACCCTGGCACACTTAATCCTTGTCTGCCTACCAAAATTCGACAGTGGATTGGGTGATCAGAAGGGTCACCCTATTCTCATCCTTTCTCATTGTCATAATCATGGTTTATATGTTGTGTTGAAATTTTATAGTTACGATAAAAAGAGTAGTAATTTTCGTATTAGTTTAATTTTACACGTAACAAGAATAGAGAAAAGGATAGCTTTTATAATGCGGGTTAGTCCCACGATAAATAGAAAAGATAAAGGGAAAGTGTTTATTTAAAAGGAAAAGTGCTATTTTATGGTTTTAATGACCAATAAAAATATTATTACTCATATTTCTTGAAGTCAATGTTTTGCAAACCTTGTATGAGAGATATCATGATTTTGTAATATTTTTTTTATATATAATATACTTGAATTAATGTCTTCAACTTTTGTTTTTTGAAGTATGCATGGATTGATATGCTTTCTTCTTCTACTATATGTTAGAAAGAAATTTATTTTCTAAAGATGATGCTTTTGACTATAAAGATGTTAAATTTCTTCCCTTAGAGCCTTAGGTGCCATATTTGGTTGCTAGCATAAAGCCTAACAGAGTAATTGTCACCTTTTCCTAAAATTTTGAACCAAATTAAAGAAAGATTTTTTTTCTTTAACACTATTTCACCAAATAAAATCTATATTGTTGCACAGAGTTCCCCACGAATGCGGACGTAGAAAATATGTTCATTTTCCTTTAGTTTGCATTGTCAAAATCTGAATTTAACATATCTATCAAATAACTATTCTAATTGATGTTTTTGCAGAGTTACTATCTCAATCTTACTTTATTTTACACTTTTACGGCATATACTTGCTCCTAGTGCCCTTCTATATTTCTTAAAAATAGAAAAATACAAGCTAACCCACGATCAACACTTAGTACATCGAGCACAGCCACGAACTACGAGTGCATAGCAGAGGTGACACCTTTCTACTCGAGACATGACTATGCGGGGAATGCCTATGAATGTGTCCATGGGAAGATTGATAACGTAAGGGAGTTTTCAATAGGTTGAGATAGTAACTCTGCAGCATCTCCTTCGAACAATAATTTCAAACATAAAAATGAGCAAATAGATACTTCACAAGACGCATGAAGATCTACAGTGGTATGAGGCCCCTTGAGATTTAGATCCATTCATATTTTTTATAGTACTAGATACTTCTAGCACTCTAGTTAGGGGTTAGGCCGAGTTTCCTCTTAATTTTGTACTATTTTTCTTTCATTCATAATAAGACATGTCACTCAGTATGGTTTTAATTTAAAAAAGAGTTTGATTTTCATTTTTTGGTATGTAGAAATTGTTTGAAAAAGGGAAAGTATAGAGATGAAATATATCTTTGTTAGTATTTAGTATTACTATTTTGAATTTAACAATAACGTCCCTTCATATTCTACATTATTGTCCAAGATAAAGATCAAATCATGTACATAATAAAGATAATAATTATCCAAATTACTTGTACACAAGGAAAAATGCTTTGTGGTGGTACCTTTCCCTGAATGGTCTTAAGTGCATGAAGGACCCTACGAGTCATTGTACTTGCTTGGTTACAAAGGCATCCTCTAAATTGAAAAGCATATTTAATACTTTGAATTGCTAAATTTGAATATGACAACGGACAAATATTTTGCATATTTAATACCATGTTTCATTTGTAGTCATTGATGTCTTTCCAGAAAGGGGGAACTTGATAGCATCGTACAACGAGCCTTGATCCCCCACCCGAGAATTCTCCGCTGAGCAGCATGATGCAACAATGAGCAAACACTCGAATCAGGCAATAAGATCACCAAGATCTATTGCAAGTTTCAGAGGGGCCGAAAATAACATACACAAGTGCTCTCTAAATCAGGCAATAAGATCACCAAGATCCTCTTCTCAAGCAAAAAAAAAAAGGACCTCATCGTGATGAAGCAAAAGGTGAGAATTGTACTCACGAAAAAACGGAAAAACACTTTCGAATTGTACTCGCGGATGAAAATCTGACAATCGACCCAAAAGTTATGCACATTTTTTGCATATCTTTCGTATTCATCTTTACCTTGAATCAACTGCACCAAGATTTGGCTCTTCCTTTACGCCCACCTTGAAACTTTGTGTCTAGCATGTTGTACTTGAACTATTGGTCCATGTAGCTCGGGCAAGTCTTTGCATGGCTTCCTTGATCTTCTTCTCTCTTGACATTGTTGTTGGCCCCTTCGGAACATGTAATAGATCTTTGTTAGCTTGCCACCCATGATTCTAATCATGCATATTCAATCTTATTCTTAATTGAACTATCCAGAACCTATCAAAGTTTTCCAATCTTGGTGGAGTCCAACCTTTTCAACCTTGGTTCTTGATTCAAGAAATTATTGGGTCAATGTTCTACATTCGGTTTTAACTTTCTTGGGGAAATCGTGTGTGGGTTCCAGGGTACATCCTACATCGGGGTTCGCATTAGTTGCTATTAGAGCCTTCACTCTAAAATCTAGTTGTTTTCTTATCTGTCTTTCGTTTTCCA